ATTTCTATAGCGCCAATTCACAACCCATGTCATTCCAAGGCACTTTACAGTTCACCAGATCATCCAGTCAGATTGGTTGGAAGTTTTCTATCTAAGGAAAACCAGTTGATTGTATCGGCTCATTGATCCAAAGGCAATCCTTCACACTGAGCATGCTTGTAGCGACAGTGGAGAGGAAAAACTCCTTTTAACAGGAAAAAACCTCCAACAGAACCAGACCCATTCTGGAATCACACAGCCAGGTTGACAAGCTCTGAGCCAGAGCTCCATCACAGGTGTCTGCAATCTTGTAATCAGTCAGTGGCCCTATACTATATAGGCCTATAGGTAGTCACTCTCCTGTTTGGTGACATGGTGTGTACCACACTCAACATGAACCCGAGGCAGCAAAGGAAAGAGTTATCTTAGGAAATTAGAAAGACAATTATAGATAAGTGTGTTAAAGATAATGGCTATTAGATAATCTCCAGGCAGCTAGATGTTCCTGTGTCTACAGCTGCACGTTATTGAAGCATGTTTGAAAACATTGCCAGACTTTCATTTGTTCCAGGAAAAAAAAACAGCCATGAAGAGGAGCTCAGAGCCAGCTCCCATGTCAGAGGTTGAAGAGAGCACATACAGTTAATCACAGTAAGAGAAACAGGACTACACTGAAAAACAGGCATAGCTCCAACATCCAAAGGTGATGATGGCAGCAGCACAGCTGATAATTCTATCCAGGATGGTGTCACAGCCAAACAGGATCCAACCAGATGAAGCTACTATGAGAAAAAGCAGAGAGAGCAGAACGTTAGAGATTGAACTAATAAATACTGCAGAATGGGAGGACAGAAATAGAATGAAGCAGAATAATGAAAAGGGGTTCCTATGTCCTCCAGCAGTCTAAGCCTATAGCAGCATCACTATAGAGATGCTCAGGATAACCTGAGCCACTCTAACTATAAGCTTTATCAAAAAGGAAAGTTTTAAGATTAGTCTTAAAAGTAGACAGGGTGTCTGCCTCAGACTAAACCTGGTAGTTGGTTCCACAGGAGAGGAGCCTGATAATTAAAAGATCTGCCTCCCATTTCTTCTTTTTTTTTTCTTGTCTGGCCCCAAGCAGAATCATAGATGGAGTGAAGTTCAGTCTCAATAATCCTGTCTGCATTATTATTTCTACTTTGGACCGGTCCTGTCCCATAGATGAAAAAAACCACAGTAATGGACAAACACAGGACAGATTGAATGATGGCCAGCGGCTACTGTGGAAGGTTCTACTTCCTGCCTTCCAACAGGGAGGTTTAGTCTCTACTGTATTTAACCTGATCCGTCAGTTTTTCCTCTGCTGACGTTTAGCTTCTGTAAAAACATATTTCATCGGAAGGCACTGACAAATTTAAGCTGCTTTTCATTTTTCTAACATATTGTCTCAAAAGAGGAATCCTTGGTTCTAGCTAAATCGGATCGAAAATGAACAAAATTTTGCAGCTGACGGCCTTTAAGACTGTGCCAGTTTCTCTTAGATTTCCTTCTCTCTGTCGCCACATGCTTCCAATAGTTGGAGGAAACAAAATGGGCATAAAGGGCATAAACTGACTGCTGTGTTTTGTAACCAGAACCAAATTGAATAAGATGTCATTTAGTTTGAATCTGAATGACTGGAATGATTAGATTTTATTCTTTTAGAATCATATACGTTTATTTCATAAAGAGCTTTGAGATATTTTTTGGTGATTGTTGCTCTATTAGTGAGCATGTATCAGACTACATGTCAGAGGGTTCATTTAGGCCCATAAATATTCACATCTCTAGAAGATTAATTTAATTATTTTATATCCAGACTTTTAATTAGTTTCTGATGGGAATGGAGACCCACTGGGTCTCCAAGGTTGGAGCTAATTTGTAGCTTCCTGCTCAGATTCTAGTCTGGACTCAGGAACTACAGGATGACTCAGCATAAATCAGGGGTATAAATAATTTGGGTCTGTCCTATAACATGTATTTAAAGTTCTTCTCTGTTTTATTTTCATCTGATTTAAAAATGAAACTATCATGAGGTTCTGAGGGGATGATCTCTGGTTCGGTCCCTTTCTGGTTGAACCCAGATGTTAATTAGCTGGTAGGCAGACACCTTCACTGCTCTGATTAGGGTCAGAACCTGTTGGGTCTGAACTTCTTTACATTTGCTTGTTGCTGCTTTCGGTCAGAAATGGAAGTTAATGTAAAAAGATGGGGGCACAGATTGTTGGTTCGTCTCTGAGAACCTGGACTGTTTCAACGGAACCTGATGGTGGTCAAAAGTACTTGGTTCTGGTGTCGCTCGGTGTGATATTTATGGTTTAGAACTGGCTGTGAGCTCAGGTTTTCATGGCGTGCTGAATAGAAGCGCTGCAGGGATCTGGGTTATGGTGAGGTGATGGACAGGGCTGACTCAGAGCACCGCTGACCCAGTTCTGGCCGATGCAGATGAGTGGGTCAGGTGAGTGACAGCGGCTGGGATCACAGGCGGATCTCAGGAGTCCATCCTGGCTCTCCTTCATCCCAGGAAAGTTCAGCCCAGATTGACCTGCTGTGACCCTCTGGATTTTATTATCGTAGACGTTTTCTCTCTTCTGATTCGTTATCATCACTGATTATTAACGGTACAGGATGAAGCTGCCGATTCAAAGCTGTCAGGGAAGGTTTCTGCTGGTCAGCAGGTTTCCTTTTGTCTGAGTACAGGTGCTCTCTGTGGTTCTGGTTCTTCTCAGCCACAGAGAAACATCTGTGGATCACAAGGATCCACAGCTCCAACAGCCCTGTATGTCTTGGCCTCACAGACAGACAAGCCCAGTTCTGCAGCTCTTATGAAACAGCAGATGTAGGTGAGACTGATCTGAGCTGCTCGTGTGTCTGAGCGTAAGATTAAGACTGTTTGTTTCTCTCCTGCTGCAGAAACTGCAGCTTCAGCAGCTTCAGTCCACACCGGGTCACCGCCCAGAGAACATGCAGAACTCTCATTTTCAGCAGCAGCTGGTCTGGTTGGCTGGTTTTCACTGAAAAACAATGAAGTGGTCCTGAATAGTCTGAGGCGGGAATGTTCCTGTAACCATTAAAACCATAAAAGCCTTTATTCAAATTTTAAAGCCAAATTTAAACACAAATTTTAATTTTTCATCATCCAGGAGGTAACTGCCCAGGTCTGCAGCAGGTTGCTGTCAGAATCAGGTTCATAGTCAGGTTGGTTTGATTTGGATTCAGTTCGTAGTCAGATCCGGGTTCATTACAGAGACAGTTCAACCAGATCATAGTCAGATTGGTTCAGATAAAGTTTTCTATCTAAGGAAAATCAGCTGATTGCATCAACTCATTGACTCGAAGCAATCCCTGACACCATACATACATGCGTGTGGCAACAGTGGAGAGGAAAACTATCTTTTAACGGAAGGAAACCTCCAGCAGAACCAGACTACGTGGGAGCAGCCATCTGCCAAGACTGGGGTTCAAGGAGACAGAAACAGACAAAGAAAAAGAAACAGAGATGCAAAAGGCAACCCGCTCCACAGGCGGCCCCGTCCAGGAAACACACAGCCAGACGGACGAGCTCCGGGCCAGAGATGAAAGAGAGCATATACATTAGTCACAGTAAGAGAAACAGGACTACACTGAAAAAAAGGCAGAGCTCCAACATCTATTTCATCATTGATAACATGATCCAGGCTGGTAGTTCCATGTTGGTTCACAGTTCCATAGTCCAAACTTTGGTTCTTTATTTGTTCTGGTTCTGCTGACCTGGCCCATCTGTAAAACCAGGAAATGTAATATTTTGTGGTGAACACCAGGGGGCAGCCTGTAACAGTCTGCATGTCTGTGAAGGGGCCCAATCAATGACTTACTTTACTGATTTCTACGACAGCACCTATGTCTGGTTCTAAAAAAGGCTTTTAGATAAAATTACAGAGGTAGTTACCATAACACCACATGACCAGAGGAATGATGATTGCACATACAGGCTATTAATAAACACGGATTTAAGGGTGAGAAGTAAATCAGTGAGAAGAAAGAACTCCAAGATCGAGTTTGAAAAAGCCCTAAAAAAGCTTGGATACCTCCAGACCATCAGCACTAAAAACAACTGATTGAGTCAGTAAGTACTGCCAGCAGATGGCGACGCGTACAACAACAAATTCCATGGCTTAAAAAGGACTAAGCAAACACTCCCAGGGCGAACGCTCAGTGTGAAACACTTTATTTTAACATGACCTCAGGCTTTGTGGTGGATCTTTTTTTATGTGAAAAGTTAAAATTCTGATGGTTCACATCTGACCTGAAGTGGCTGACGTTTGAATCACTCAGACTTGGACTTGTGGGACACAGTCATGTCTTTCACTCCCTGCCTCCTAACTTAATGTTAGATATAAAACCTTAGAGGAGTTATGGTCACTTTCAGGTACAATTAGAATAACATTTAATATAGTAAAACATCATTGATATAAATTAATGACATTCCTATCATGAAAGGTTGTCCTGAGACACATGTAGTTTATTTTACTTTTAATACCATATTATATTATATATTCACATATTTCAGGCTATCTCAAATTTTTTCAATGTTTATTCATTTTATTGCAGATAAAATCTTAGATTTTTTTTCATTCTAAGAATAATTTTGAAATTTATTGCAGAAATGCTGCTGTGCCGTTTTAAAAAGCACAGATTTCAGATCACAGTAGAGGTCTGAATACTTTCCATGTCCTTTTAACCGTCTTTAATGTCTCCCCTGCGATTCATTTCTGGATGGTTTTCCTATAGAAGCCCAGAAGCTGAAGTCTGGGCCCAGTCGGTGCTCCAGGCGGACGTGGCCTACATCTGTCACTGTCCCAATCAATAGAGATGATCACAGAAGAAGTCAATCCCTTGTGCTGCTGGGATGCTATTGGCTGATGCGGCAGGCCCCGCCCACCCATCATGTCCTGTGTGATGAGATGAGCAGCAGATAAATAACAGCTCAGACTGCAGGGAGCCTCACATGGACGCTCAGCTCTGGTGGATCCGTGCTTCAGCTGGGAAGAGGGATCAGGATCAGGCTCAGGATGGAGCTGAAGGACTTTGCTCTATCAGCCGACTATCACTTTTTCAGTCCACGATGGTGAGTGGGATTATCATCTGGAAACATCTGGAGGACAAAACTTTACAGAGTTTTTCTTAAACTTCAGCTTAAACTGTTTTAATTCTTCTTATATTTAAGTCTCTCTTATAAATTTGGCTCCTTTTCTACGGTTTTAATTTTTTTTCTCACTTTAGCAAATAATGATGGTTCGTTAAATTCTGCTTTCAGTGTAATTGCTTCTATTATTTTATTAATATGTATGTCTTGGTTTTGACCTGTTCTAGAACAGGACAGAACTTTGATTTAACACTTTTCTAATTAATCATACTTTACTATAACATTCAGAGATCAATTAGTTTTAGGTATCAGGAACTAGAAGTACAGGGTATCAGCTAAACAGCCAGTTATGATATAGCTGAACGTTGCCATGACAACATGGGGTGGAGACGGCTTCATCTCCTTTAATTTGGACTTTCTTCCATCTCTGTCTGAGCTTTTTCACCTCTTTCACTAAACTCTGCGACTCCAGTCTGAGTCCGTCCCGCTGCAACAAAATATCCGGGAACAAAAATATAAATTGGATGGAAAAATGTTAAGGTATTTAATGTTGTGGTAAATCTAGCACTTTTAGAGATTTTCACATCTATTGTTATTTTCCTTGTTGAAAAAATGTAAAAGAAGTTATTATAACAAGACAAATCTTTGGTGATCGAATCCTAAATTGCCAGCAAACTACAAAAACAGCAGAAACTATTTTTAGGGTTTTTTTCTTTCTTTTTTCTTTTATTTAATTTTTTATTCATTTGGATCAAGTCAAAGAAGAAATTCCTGATAGGAAATGTACAAACTAAAAAGAGGAAGTTAAACAGAAAGCAGTTAAGCGTTTGCAGGTTTTTATCTTTTTGTGACCTAAAAAATTAAATGAAAACAATTGTAATAAAACTGGTGTATCTGAAAAATGGAGAAACAAACACATTTTGATGAAGATGCCTTTGAACCCCAAAATGTATTAACTACCAAATAAATCTAGACTGTGAATGCATTTTAGAAGATGTGTTGCTCTGTATTTTGGCCCTCCTGTGGTTCCATATTCTCAGAATCTTAACTATTATATCTAACTGAAACTCACAGAGAATAAAATATTTTAAAATATAATAATAAATAGAAATAACTTTTTTTTTCCTGTTTCTCCTCAGCGTCCTGCATTCCTCCTCCTCCTCACCCTCCTCCTCCTCATCTCCAGCTGATGAAGCTCAGTCTCCATCCTCCTTCTTCCAGTGCTCCCCCCTCAGTCCCTCCTTTTCCCTGGACGCCGCTCCTCTCAGCCCCTCCCTGCCAGCCTTCCTCCCTTCCAGCCCAGCCACCTCCTCCTCCTCCTCCTCCTCCTCCAGCCTCCTCTGTGGAGATCCGACTCCTGGCTCTCCTGCAGGATGCAGCTCCAGAAGAGGCAGCGCTGTGGTGTCGGACAGCTCCATGTGTTTCTCAGAGTCTCAGTCAGACTCCTTTTCATCAAAGGTAAAAACCTCTTCCAGATGCCCCACTCTGTTGATTCTCTCACTCCATTACGGGTTTCTGTTTTATTTTATGATCTCAGCTCAGAAATCAAATTTTCTCTCATTTTTACAGCTGAATTTATAAGTTTTTCTTGACTTTTAATTCTGATTTTATAGAAACTGTAATTTTAATCCTGTAATGCAAAATCTATCATATTTGATACATACGGTTTCTGAAATGTTTTGCGTCCGACACCTTTTGCATAATTTAATGGTAAAAACTTTGCTCAAAATCCTATTGTACACAATCATATATACCTGATAACAGCAAGTAGAAGACTACACAAAAAAATAATCTTGACTTATCGCATAGTAATAAAGTATTAATATAAAAAATGCATTTCTGTTTTTTCTTTTTATATATTTTGTTAAAATGGCAAATAAGGAATTCAAACCAAAAAAAATAATTTTCTGTTTTGTTTTATTCTTGGATCGGGCTTTAAAGGGTTAAATTAAGTCAGAAATATGTGAAATTCCTAAATTCTGAATGTTATATTGACCTAATAAGATATAGAATTTTAATTAAACCTAATTGAATAGAAATTTCACTTCATGCAGCTATATTAATATATTTGAATCCCTTGCCCTGTTTTTTTTTATGCTTTTCTGTTCCTCCATGAAAACACACTGGCCCCCTCTTGGCCCCCTCCTGGCCCCTGGTACATTTAGTCTAGATCCACCACTGAGCCCAGGTCAAACTAATTTATCCTTTAGGTTTTAGCTCAAATACAGGAATTAAACAGAGTTCCTGAGAGACTCACTGTGAAGGGTTAAAGGGGATAAAATCAATCAGTAATGAAATTAATAAATGTACCAATAAAATATCCCAGTAGACCCTAATGTCTGATTGCCTACTTCCCAGAGAGGAAGAGCAGATGACTACTTAAGTTTGGTTTTACTCTATAATCAATATTTGTTCTGGAAAATGTTTTAATACAGTAAGTCTACCACATATTCAGGGTGACAAACTCCAGCTTCTTTATTCCTATTTTAGTCTAAACATCTCTAATAATCTCACTAGAGCTCCCAGTGAAGGAAGCTGCCAAACTTCAGACAGGATTTATGAAGCCCCGCCCACTGAGACCGGCTAACACTCTCTTATGAACACAGAAGCCATGAAATAAAAAAATAAAAAAATAGAGTAAAATTTTTAAATTTATATTTGGATTTGTTTTACAAAATGACATTTGAATGTTTAATGCAAAATGTAACCATTTATTTGAATATTTTATTATTTAATAGTACAGTAGTTTTTTTGTCGTTATTTCAGAGATGCATTTAATGATTTAACGGTAAATTCCATTATTTCATATATTTATTTAATTTAAATTGTGCATTTCTTAATAGAATTATTCATTTCATGATGTATCCATTTTTATATTTGTCCTCTTTAACCCTCCATACTCAACAGGCTGTGTGTTCGGCTCCTTATAGTTTTCCATCTGTCCTGTTTTTGGTGTTCAGTCGGCCTCTACACAAATAAAACTAAGATGCTTAAAACTTTTTCCACAGAAATGTTTTCTCTCCTTGATCTGAACAAAATCTTTTTCTAAAGTTTGAACTGGTTCTGTAGACGGTTTGTTAAATCAGCTGTTTTAGTTTCTGTCTCTTTAAGGCTCTCTTACCCTAAGATATTGTTTTGTGGAGGTCTGAAATGGGCCTTAACGAGTCGGCGAGAATCACAGAAAACTTTAAAGAAGGGGTCTTCTATCTTCAGCCCTGATGTCTCAAAACTTACAGTTTTGTTCTGATTGAAAAACACAGAATCGGATTGAGGTTCTATTACCTTAGATGTTCTGATGAAGCAGCTGTAATCATTTCAAACAGAGATGACTGGTTTAAAAAAAGGAGATGCTTACAGGGTTTGGGTTGATGTTTGGTCCAACCTCTGTTCTTCAGGTGGACTCCATCCTCAGAGGCGACTATCGGACTCCAATGGGCACCATGGGGCCTAAAAGGCTGTGTCTGGTCTGTGGAGACTTTGCCTCTGGTTACCATTATGGCGTGGCGTCCTGTGAGGCCTGCAAGGCTTTCTTCAAGAGGACCATCCAAGGTGACCATCATCATCATCCTTTTTTTTTTTACTCTTCAATATTCTTTTATTTTTATACACTTTTCTAAGGTCCACATTTGTGTGACCACTTTTGCTATAATCTTGTGCTGCTGTAACACCACAATTTCCCCATTGTGGGACAATAAAGGGATTTTCTATTCTATACTGTAGTCCATAGGAGATGAAACAGGAAACCATTTAAATCAAACTAAAGTGTTAAACTTAATCCAACTTTTTATGTTTCTCTTATCCAAGAGTTGGTAAAAATGACCAATTTATAACTTTAGAAATTTCTTCTTATTTACAAGTTGTTGTTTTTTTTCGTTTTTCGTCTTTTTTTTTATTTGTCTTTCTTAGATATTTCGTAAAAAGATTTAAATTGGGAACTCTGTTGAGTTCAGTGGATTTATTTTTCTTCTTTTCAGTTGCTGAATAATTAAGTCACTAATGGTAAAAAAAATGACAAAAACTAAAAAAGGGAAATAATATTGGACATTTTACTTCAGCATATTTATTCAAACACATCAAATGCTTTATCCTCCCTGCTGTGAATAAAAAGAGAATTAATCAAACAAAAAATATAGATGCTTTTTGGAATAAATAGATATGACTTCATTTATAACAAAAAATTGTCTATAAAATATTTATATTTACAATATCATGTTTGAATAGATGCTAAATAAAATAATATTTTTGATATAACAAAACCCTGTGGGTTAGTGTCATGGTGGACGTTTCAAACGGTCCTGGACCAATCAGACCCCTCAGGAGTGAGACCTGATCAATATGGCGGCGCTCTGAGCATTGATTGGTGTGTGAAGCCTTCAGCTTCCACCATAAGCTTCTGAACCCGGACCTCCCGCCGGGCTGAGCCGCTGCTTCCACAACACCAGGCCACGTCAATATGAACCGGATCAATACCAGCAGAGCCGTCAGAGGGCGGGGCCGAATCAGAACATGAGACTTAAAAGCATCAGAATGGCAGCTGCAGGAGGGAATTTTAATCCATCCTTACTTTGATTAAATCTTTTTAAATGTTGCTGTGAAAAGGTGTGACTTGATTTCTGTTTTTCTTTTGGTTACCAAGGCAACATTGAGTACAGCTGCCCGGTGATGAACGAATGTGAGATCACGAAGAGGAGGAGGAAAGCCTGCCAAGCGTGCCGCTTCCAGAAGTGTCTGCAGGCCGGAATGATGCGGGAAGGTACGACCAAACCCGGTTCGGTCCATGTTAGTTTGGAATCCTCTCAGCGGTGGAGCTTGAGGGAGCAGAAACATCACGGTCACCTCTGAGGACAGCAGGGACTTTAGTTTAGAGTAAAACTGAAGTGAATTAAAGCTCAAATTATAGTTTGAGGAGAGGATCCAGAGAATCCCCTGAACAAAGGTAGTCAGATTAAGGCTAGTAAACAATCTACAGTGCTAGATATACACAATCAGGATGGATGGTCTGCAAACCTCTGAATTCTCATTCGTAAATTAAAGGGGAGGAGTTCAAGACTGATTTAAAACCCTGGTTCTGGTCCAATGGAACCAAACTGGACATCTTGGAGAACGACCCTGAACACTCCGCCCACAGTGACACTCGGCGGTTGCAGCATAATGCTGTGGGATCACTTCTTTCTGTGACCAAAAATGTTCTGACGTCTGCTGGCAAAATGATGACAAAGCATTTCAGTCTCAGTGAGTCCAAAAGCGAGTTCATATGAACCGAGCTGGACTCCAGAACCAAGAGTGGTCTCACATTCTGGGACAGTCGGAGAATCTCTTCCAGGGAACCCGGGCCAGGAGAACTGGATCCACCTGCCAGATCTCTACGGTGTTTCATTTTCCACATTTTCTCCTCCCACCGATCTTTTCTTTCCTTACAGTTGTGCAGAATAAACGTCACATTGTTACTGAGACCATTTTTTTTGGTAAATATTTTAACAATAGCTATTTTTTTTCCACAAAGTTCTGACCCGTTTATGCCCACTGTCTGTATGGTTCCTTTAAAAACTAAACAATTCAGTTTATTTTCATAGCACCAATTCAAAACGAATGTCATCTCATGGAACTTCTCAGAGACAATTCAACCAGATTATACAGTCAAACTGATTCAAAGTTTTCTATCAAAGAAAAACCACCTGACTGCATCGACTCATTTACTCAAAGGCCCATGTCAGAGGATAAAAGAGAGCACATACAGTTAGTCACAGTCACTGGACTACGCTGAAAAATGGACAAACTTCAACATCTATAAATAAATGCGTTGATGGCAGCAGCACAGCTGATATTTCTCTCAAAGATGTTGTTACAGGCAAATGGGAACTTACCAGATGAATCTACTATGATGAGAAAAAGCAGAGAGAGCATAACATTAGAGATTAAACTAACAAGTACTGCAGAATGGAAGAACAGAGATAGAATGATGAAAATGGATCCCTATGTCCTCCAGCAGTCTAAATCTATAGCAGCATAACTATAGAGATAGCTCAGGATAGCCGAAGTATTCTGAATAAGATATAAGAAAGGAGAGCCACTGTGTGGCCAAGGAAGAGCCAACATTCAATTACAGACAGAAAAATACCAGACATTAAATGGGCTACAGAAACCATTCAAACGCTTGTTCTGTGTTTTTAGGGGTCCGTTTGGACCGGGTCAGAGGGGGCCGGCAGAAGTACAAGAGGCGGGTGGAGACAGGAGGGGTTTTCAGCAGCAGAGCTCCGTACAGCATCCCTGTTGGCTCCAGTAAGTTCCCTCTGATGGCTCCTAGTCCGGTCAGACTTCCCAGTCCTAACGACCCGCCTCTGTTTCAGGGAACAAGCTGGTCTCCCATTTGCTGCTGACAGAGCCGGCCCCACTGGCAGCCAATCAGGATAACTCAACGGACGACGGCAGCCTCCGGACCCTCCTGACCCTCTGTGACCTTCTGAACCGGGAGCTGCTGGTTCTGATTGGCTGGGCCAAGCAGATTCCAGGTATAAACAGATTCTGGTTCGAAATATCCAGAACTTTTACACTTTACAGCGATTATAGTTTATAATGACAGAAACAAAAATGTCGACTTCCCGAATCTCCCACAGGTTTCTCTGAGCTCTCATTGGTGGATCAGATGTCGCTTCTGCAGAGCGGCTGGATGGAGGCACTGCTGGTGGGCGTGGCCTGGCGATCGCAGGGCAGGGTGGGGGAGGATCTGGTTTTTGCCGGGAACCTCTGCCTGGACGAGGCTCAGTGCCGTGCCGCCGGATTGGCTGACCTGTACGAGGAAGTGCGCCACCTGGCGGCCAGGTACCGGGCGATGAAGATGAGCCCTGAGGAGGCGGTGACGCTCAAGGCCATGGCGCTCGCCAACTCAGGTATTAACACCCCTTTAGCCTGTCTTAAAGCCTTCACCCATTAAATTAGGTCTGTGTATGAAAGGCAAAAAGTCCATAAATGTTAAAATAAATAATGCCCCTATGCTTCCCTTTGAAGCTAAAGAGCAGAAAAAGGGAAAAAATTAAAGCAGTTAAGCAGGCAGTCTGATTTACTCTGTCTCTGCTGCCACCTACTGGTAGATAAAAACACTGCAGCTCACTGGTAATCTCCTGTTTTAAATGAGCTAATGTTCACAAGATGTTCCTCAGGAAAGAATCAGTTAAATATTTGGTTTAATCCTTCAGACAGAAACAGAATATCTAATGGATGAAAAGTCCTTTTTGCTCTATTCTAAACAAACTCACATCTTTAAGCAATGCTGTGTTGGAAACAGGCAGGAGATGTGTTGCACCAAAATATAGAAAAAATACAATGGATTTTAATTATTAAAAAAGCTCTGTTTGGAACTTCACATTTCAGTGATCATTTTTCAGCAGAACCATCAGTCTTCTTTTTTTTTTCTTGGCAAGAGCCCCTTTACTTAAAAGTCTGCTGACAGGAAATGGACATGCAGCAAAGGTCAATAGGTCAAAAGTCCAATGGCAGCAACTGCTGCTGGGACTCTGTCGCCACTGCACCCTAAACTGTCTTTCAGTTTAAACAGCTAAAAGGAAATTTTATTAGAGTGAATAAACATTTTGAACCATTTTACAGTTGAGTTTTGTTTTCCAGATTTTTCCCACTCTGGAGTCTGTTGGTTTCAAAAGAGTTTCAGAGGTTTTTAGGCTCAGGGTGCCTCAGAAAAAAATTGAGGAATAAAATAGGTACAAAATATATAAAAAAAAAAGTTTAATGTAATTATGTAATTATTTTATATCATCATAAAACAAAGGTTTTATTTATTTTGTTCCAATCGAATAACCAACACTTTATAGAAAACACTTTAAAGATATGTAAATATTTTAAAGTGTTTTCTATGGAATTATCATTTAATAGTGAATCCAAATTCTAAAAGTTTTTGTTTTCTTTCTTTCTCAGAACAGTTCAGCCATACTGTTTTCTTCCCAGCATGGAACTGAACTGTCTTTAAAGATGTAGGGAAGTCACATTTAAATGTCAAATCATTCTGGCCTAAGCAGGTATATAAATGTACTCTTATTGATACTCTATCAGTATCAATATTGTCCCAGAAATTAGAAATTTCCTATTTTAAAATAGTCCTGTCTTAAAATCTGTGTTTGGCCTGCATAAAATAAAAACAAAACAAAAAAACTGTTAGTTATACTTCAGCCTGTACACCTAAATTCGGCCAATCATATATCAATTTTCATCTGTCAACCAGATTTTTTCGGTCATAGCATCTTGATTTATATGTCGCAGCTAATATAGGCAACAGTTGAAGTAAGATTCATTTCCTTTCCCATTGAGTTTGTCCGTCCCAGTGTTCACTGGCAGCGTTGCGAGGCAAGGGCTCAAACATGTACGGCTGTAAGCCTTCTACACCAAACCAAGCTTCTGCCGCCCTGGCGTCCTCTTCCACAACATCTTCATCCCCGCTTTCCTCCTCTAAATAAAAATGTATGACGGAGGAGACTCATCCACGACCTCCGACACAAAACTCTCCTCCTCTTGCATGTTTCTGCTGTTCATAGTGTTCCTTCACAGAGTCGTTTCTAATTCACCAATTTAGAGCTACTTGGTCCCAATGGAATTTCCCATTTGGAACCTACTAGCACTAAGTTGCTAATCGGTTAGCAAGATGCTTTCGAGACACCGGCCAGAACCAAACTTGCTTGCGAACCTTCCGCCACAACAATCCCGCCCTCTTGATAAACGACCAATCACATTCACTTTATTCACTCGTGTAAATTCGGGCACTGCTCGGGAGAATTCGGAAATGCAACGGTTGGAACAGCCGCTTCCCTACGAGATGTTCAGATCTCTTATAGATTTCTAGTTTTACTGCAGCAACTTTGTTTGAGTCTTAAGTGTGTTTGATGAATTCCCGCCTTTTTTGGGGAGCAGGCAGGAATCTCCGTAGCAACCAGTGACTCAACATTACCAAAGTCTGGTTCTGTTATTTCTCTGCTGATTCTGATGTTGCACGTTTAAAAACCCAGCAGGACCAAAAGAGGGAAGCCGATATATGTTGATGAAAGAAGATTTGCTGTTTAGTTGATGAATTAAGGTGTTTATATTAAACCTAAGCCGGGGCACCTTTTTAAAATGCGTCCTTTTTGTTTACATTTATCAGAAGCATCTGCAGTAGCAGCTACATGTGCAGCAGGTGGCGGCAGTGAGTCTGTTTGGAACCAGAGGGGTTCTATAGGTTAAGTTCATGGTCGGGTTTAACATAAACTCTGGTATTGATTAAAACTTGGAGGACGACGAGCCTGTCTGGGTTTATTGATCAGAGGCTGGGAGCCGCAGCAGAGGAGCTACATCAGTATTGATTAACCTCACTTAACTTTGAGCCTCGGATCAATAAAGTCCCCCGATAAATGAGGCTGTTGGTCTATGAACCCCCAGCTGTGCTTCTGGGGTTTTAATCAATGCAGCAACAATAGAAGATCCTCCCAATGAGTCCAACCTTGACCCTAATTTCTTCTGTTCTTATTTCTGCTCATCCACCCGACCGGTAACTGGCCTGTTTGTCTTAACCCCTCAGATGCCGACCCACTGGACTGTCCGGACTCTCTGCAGAAGTTCCAGGACGGGCTCCACGAGGCCCTGCAGGACTACGAGTGTTCCCGTGGGGAGCAGCACCGAGCGGGCCGCCTACTGATGAGCCTCCCGCTGCTCAGACAGACCGCAGACCGGGCCGTGCAGGCTTTCCTCCGGCTGCACCGCCAGCGGCGCGTCCCCATCCACAAACTGCTGCTGGAGATGCTGGACGCCAAAGCATGAGGAGCACTTCCTCTCTGCACGGCCGCAGCTGCTTTTCTCAGGGGACTTTAAGAACCAATCTGTTTGCACAAAGAGACCAGAAATATTCCAAACCCCAGATGGCAGAATATCTGAACAACCTGAAGGGGATGGGTTTTAAAAACCTGGAATCATGAAGGTCCTTCAGATAAAATAAAAATGCTGAATCCACACTGTTTTCCACCAATGAATCAGTAGATGATCAGTGCCGGAGGTCTCCTCTTCATAAAGACACTCCTGACTGAGGAGGGAGTATCATCATCATGTGTTTCAAGTTGTGATGTATTTTTCTACCAGATATTTTTCTGTAAAGTTTTCTAATCAAACACGAGTTAACCTTAGACCATGGTGGACGATTAGGAGATGATTCAATCTTCTCAGGGTGAAATAAATGTTTGCAAAAGTCTGCTCTGCTTTTATATACAATGTTTTTTTAGGTGGATCAAACAATCAGAGGGAAGAAAAAGAGGGATGCTTAAGGGATGCTCTGTTGTGGTGAAGAGAGAGCTGAGCCAAAAAGCAAAGCTCTCGATTTACCGGTCGATCTACGTTCCTACTGTCATCTATGGTCATGGGCTTTGGGTCATGACCGAAAGAACGAGATCCCGGATACAAGCGGCTGAAATGAGTTTTCTCCATAGTGTGTCTGGGCTCTCCCTTAGAGATAGGGTGAGGAGCTCAGTCATCTGGGGAGGACTCAAGCTGCGTTCACACCAAACGCAGCAGCAGCAGCAAAAACACATCTGCTGCTTCCTTTTTGCTGCTTTTTCCATCTCGAGCAGCAGCGCGTTTGCATTGCGTCATGTGCGTCAGATGCTCAAACGCTCACAACGCCCTGCTCAAAACGCGCTGCGGGACATTTGCTGTGCCTTGACGCGCATCAACCATTGACTTTGCATGTAAACTAGCTGCTCCTGCTGCGTTTGGTTTGAACGCATCTTCAAAGTAGAGCCGCTGCTCCTCCACATCGAGAGGAGCCAGTTGAGCTGGCATGGGCATCTGGTTAGGATGTCCCCCGGACGTCTCCCTGGTGAGGTGTTCCAGGCACGTCCCACTGGGAGGAGGCCCAGGGGGAGACCCAGGACACGCTGGAGGGACTATGTTTCTGGGCTGGCCTGGGAAAGCCTTGGGATTCCCCTGTAGGAAATGGCCCAAGTGGCTGATGAGAGGGAAATCTGGGCCTCCCTACTGAAGCTGCTACCCCCGCGACCCGATCCCAGATAAGCGGAAGAAGATGGATGGATGGATGGTTGGTTGGTTAAGGGGTAAAACCATTATTTTTACCCTTCTATTGAAGCTCCATCGACTCTATAACAACACACTGGAAAAAATCAATATCTAGATAGTAATTTTTTCTTAAAATAAGTGCATTTGTTCTTCAATTGAGGAAGTAATAGAGTAAAATTAAGTAAAAGAACTCATTCTATTGGATAACTATCAGATTTGCCTACTCAAATTAAGGGTAAATACAGTTAATTTAAGAAATATTTACTTATTTCTACATCTTTTTTCCAGTGCACACATTTATTCCCTATATTTACGTATAAGAAGAGTTCTACACTCACCGGCCACTTTATTAGGTACACCTGTCCAACTGCTCGTTAACACCTAATTTCTAAGCAGCCAATCACATGGCGGCAACTCAGTGCATTTAGGCATGTAGACATGGTCAAGACAATCTCCTGCAGTTCAAACCGAGCATCAGTATGGGGAAGAAAGGTGATTTGAGTGACTTTGAACGTGGCATGATTGTTGGTGCCAGAAGGGCTGGTCTGAGTATTTCAGAAACTGCTGATCTACTGGGATTTTCACGCACAACCATCTCTAGGGTTTACAGAGAATGCTCCGAAAAAGAAAAAACATCCAGTGAGCGGCAGTTCTGTGGGCGGAAATGCCTTGTTGATGCCAGAGGTCAGAGGAGAATGGCCAGACTGGTTCGAGCTGATAGAAGGGCAACAGTGACTCAAATAACCACCCGTTACAACCAAGGTGGGCAGAAGAGCATCTCTGAACGCACAGTACGTGGAACTTTGAGGCAGATGGGCTACAGCAGCAGAAGACCACACCGGGTGCCACTCCTTTCAGCTAAGAACAGGAAACTGAGGCTACAATTTGCACAAGCTCATGGAAATTGGACAATAGAAGATTGGAAAAACGTTGCCTGGTCTGATGAGTCTCGATTTCTGCTGCGACATTCGGATGGTAGGGTCAGAATTTGGCGTCTACAACATGAAAGCATGGATCCATCCTGCCTTGTATCAACGGTTCAGGCTGGTGGTGGTGGTGTCATGGTGTGGGGAATATTTTCTTGGCACTCTTTGGGCCCCTTGGTACCAATTGAGCATCATGCAACGCCACAGCCTACCTGAGTATTGTTGCTGACCATGTCCATCCCTTTATGACCACAATGTACCCAACTTCTGATGGCTACTTTCAGCAGGATAATGCGCCATGTCATAAAGCTGGAATCATCTCAGACTGGTTTCTTGAACATGACAATGAGTTCACTGTACTCAAATGGCCTTCACAGTCACCAGATCTCAATCCAATAGAGCATCTTTGGGATGTGGTGGAACGGGAGATTTGCATCATGGATGTGCAGCCGACAAATCTGCGGCAACTGTGTGATGCCATCATGTCAATATGGACCAAACTCCCTGAGGAATGCTTCCAGCACCTTGTTGAATCTATGCCACCAAGAATTGAGGCAGTTCTGAAGGCAAAAGGGGGTCCAACCCGTTACTAGCATGGGGTACCTAATAAAGTGGCCGGTGAGTGTATGTTTCATGACCAAAGTGTTCTGGATCAACAATTCTACAGGTTTCCTTTAAGGACTTTAAATTCTGATTTATATAAAGAGGCAGAAATCTGAGGAAATAGTTTCTAACATTAAAGCTGTTGGGTTTAGTTGAACCTATAGGTGGCAGTAAATAGCATAGAGATTTTGGATAAAAACATGGATGGAAATAGGAAGAAAACATTAGTTTAAAATGGAAAAAAAATTAACTAAAATACACCTAGCCACAAACATTCTTGACAATGATCAGAATATAAATCAGAAGCTTCATTATGACCAAATTTATATAAACTCTAAGTAGATTTAGTCCTTTAATTTGTTTTGGGATTTTTTATTCAAACCATGTAAAAACAGGAAGGGATTACCATATAAGGACGATAAGCTGCTCTTACGTGTTTTTGTTGATTAAAAAATAAAAATGATAAAAAAAAAAGGTGAATGAGGCTGCATGGCTGCTTATGGGCAGCATAAGGACTCAGCAGAAAGATCCAAAGATGGATGAGTGACAAATTAGTAACAGCTAAATAGCATTACCGATGCCGTGCATGACTTTTTGAAGGCCGAGGGCTGAGAGAAAAGGCAAAGGGTCACATACAGTAGCAGCCATTCAAAATGGCCCTTCCCAGTCAAACGACAGCAACTCCCCCTCAAACCTGGAGCCACTGGAGTAAACCTTCCTTCTCCTGGGCGTTCATATTTATTCTTTCATTCCAACCCTTCACTAAATTACAGGGAGATGAAGCTTCTCTTTAGATCTTAATGGTCACAAATCATGACAAAAAGAATAGTTAAGTACAAAGATTGATGTTTGAAAAAAAATCGTAGAGGACAAACCAAGGGCCCATCAAGGAAAGTGGGGAAATTTGAATGGCTACTACTGTAAAGCGTGTTATCAGCACTGTAGAGGGAACTTTAGCTAGCATTTGTGCAACCAAGAGGTCCCTTTAGCACAAGTTTGGCCCCCAAGGGGACACATTAGCATGCTCTTAGGTTCCTGAGGGCCTATTTTAGCATGCGCTTTTCAACAATTAGGCCACAAGGGAGGCGACTGCCCATTAAAAACTTTCATATCTCTAATTTTTGCTCTCGATTATTGTCATTAATTGATTATTGAAATAATCGTCAACTAATTTATCGATTTTGAAATGGAATATAGAGACTCTAAAACATGCCTTTGGCTGACAGAGCGAGCAACCTTGATAATAATAATATCAAAATTGAAAAAAAAATATTGAAACATTTTGCATTTAAGATAAAAAATAAGCTTTTTCATCACTGTATCCAGAACGCCTCAAGTGGAAAAGTTTTAGTTTCACCTGGTTTAATTTGGTAATAATATATTCTTTAAGTAATTTCTGGTGATCCAATTATTAATTGATTAATCGAAAAAATAATCAACTTATTATTCAATTAGCAAAATAATCGGTTTTATATATATATATATATATATATATATATATATATATATATATATATTGCTATTACTGATAATATATAGTAGAAATTTACATACTCAGGAACAAAAATGTCACAGAGGATGGTCATTTAAGAATATATATATATGTGTGTGAATACTGTGCAACTTTAAGCAGTGCATACTTTTTTTTGCAAGTTTCAACGTTCTTTTCTCAGATTTCAAATTTCCAGTGTATGTTTACATTTTAGTGAATTAAGTGAAAATAAAACAGGCAAAACTCCAAAAAATGAATTTAGGTTTTACTGAAGTACAGCAGAAGATGGTAGAACCTGGCGGTTCTTTACACAAACCTTCTATTCTTGTTCAGCTGAGACACAACAAACAAACATTCAAATATATGAATTAACGTTATAGAAAACTTTAAATATAAATATTTCAATATTCCAGGGTTTAGATGCTGCCTCCTTCAGGTTTTAAGTTAAACTTCGGGTAGAAATGATAAAAATAAATCTTCTGTTAAAGTTATCGGTAGAAATCAGACCAGAAAAGATCCAGAAACTAAGTCAGATAGAAAAAGCTAGAAAAACAAATGTCCCCAAACACACCGTGACCTTTAACCCATCAGCTGAGTCTCAGTCAGGTCCAGTTCTGATTTCTGTCAGATCCTGAGTGAAATGTTACCTTTAAATTAACAAGCTCCGCCTTCTTAATCCTGAAACCATCAACTCCAGTCAACTCAAGCAGCTGTAGTGTTTATTCCTGACTCTATGGTGCCACCTGCTGGAAGTCTGGAGAAAAATGGAGTTTAAAACTAAAAGGAACCTGATCCTGATGCTGCTGAATAATTGGTTGGCCAGTCAGGGAATGGTATGGGCCCATCGACCAATGAGAAGCTGGTTTCAGTCCTCTCAGCCAATCAGAAGCAGGTTTCAGTCCTCTCAACCAATCAGAAGCAGGTTTCAGTCCTCTCAGCCAATCAGAAGCAGGTTTCAGTCCTCTCAGCCAATCAGAAGCTGGTCTCGTTCATGGGTGGTTTGGGGCTGGATGGCGCCCCCCCACCGGTTCCATCCGGACTGGACGGACTCTCTGCTGATGCTTCAGCGGGTGACGCTGCGGTGCCCTGGCGCGGAGATGATGGCGTCAGAGACCGGTTTGGACTCTGCACCGAGGAGGCGGGGCTAGTCGGAGAGGAGGGTGTGGTCCTCCTGTGCGATGAAGAGGAAGGTGACGGCGAAGAGGACATGGATGAAGGTGTTCCCTGCGGGTGCCGGGATCCTGGAGACACGGTGAAGCTGGTGGGGGTCCTGATGTTGAATCTGGCCTCCAGCTCGCTGCAGACCGCCACACTTCGCCTCACGCCCTCCGACCAGGGCGGCATTCCAAAGGCTGAGCTCGCCGCTCCCTCGGGTCCCTTGGCGAGCTCCTGGCAGCGCTCAACGAAACTGCCCCGGCGGACCGCCTCCCTGTCCTGCTGGTGGCGGGGGCTCGGGCTCTGATTGCGTCCGTGGCCGTAGAAACCCTGGAAGCCAGCAGACAGGGCGGCTTCTCTGGGCGGCCTGCTCAGGGGGGGCGGAGTCTGCCGAGGGAGGCTGCCGCACAGTGAGGCGGAGGATCCGGACGCCCCGGCTGGTCCCCGTCCTCCTGAGTGGAAACGTTCGGACCGCAAACTGTCGCTGAGCTGAGAGTGGAGGCTGCAGGGACAGGAAGTGACATCAGAAACTGGGCTGGGTTTAGTGAGCAGCGTGTGTGTGTGTGTGTGTAAGTACCTGCAGGTGGAGGCTCGCGGCGTGCTGTCAGGGGTCCGCGTCAGAGCCAGGTCACACTGGTCCAGCAGCTCCAGCAGCTCCTCCTCCGTCGGCCCGCCCAGAGCTGTTAGCAGAAGAAAATACAAAACAATCCACCATGTAAAAATTTCTCATCGGCCAATCAGAGAGCTTCGACCCGTCACATGCTTAGGAAGGTCCTGACCTCTGATGTCCACCTTCCCAGCGATCTCCATGGCCGTGGTCAGGTCCCACATCTGGATGCTGCCGTTGCTATGGCCACTGAACAGGTATCGCCGCGGGCGCGAGCCGATGCGACTTGAGCCCTCGCACTCGTGCACCATGAAGGCGGTGATGGAGGTCCCGTCCACCGATCGCACCTCGCACACCCTGATAACCAGAGGAGCAAAAAACACGGCCCCTCAGGAAACGACATCAGAGCTATTCCCTGACGTAGCAGGCGCTACTCGATGGTGTAGATATATAAAAACTAAATAAAGATAAATAAAAACTGACAATTAATTGTTTATTAGATAACATTTTTTTCCATGGATTATTGATGAAGTCTGCCTAAAATAAACTTTCACTGTCGTAATGTTACTGCTCTCCACCAGAGGGCACCACTGTTCACCATTTCACATATTTAATTCATGTTTCTCCTCCATTCAGTAACCTAATAGTTTCCAGTCCTGTTATATCTTATAAATCCGTTTAATAAAGTGCAATAAAACATTTTTTTTTATTTATTCACTCAATGTTTAATTCTACTGTAACACTAAATTGTAAAAATAAAATATTCATCAAATTGTAAAAAGATATTTAGCTCTTCATGTTCTATAGATCCTCTTGAAATAAGAGCATTAAAATGCAGAAGGGATGAACTTTTTAATCCAAAAATGCTCTGTCCAACGTGTATAAGAAGACTTTTATTTGCAGCATTTCTAGACTTAGACCTTCATCAGGAATCTTAAATCATCCTAAATAGGGGGTCGCTTTTTTCTCCACACGGCAAAAACATTTGGAAAACGTAGACAAATACGGTGGCATTCTAATCTACATAAAAAAAATAAAAAGGCACCGTATGTCTACATTTTTTTAAGTGAAAAGGGGCTCCTCAGTGGAACAGTGTGTAGTACTACTGCCTTGTAGCTAGAAAGTTCTAGGTTTGATTCCCGGCCCGGTGTTTTTCTGCATGGAGTTTGCATGTTCTCCCTAAGCATGCGTGGGTTCTCTCCAGGTACTCCAGCTTCCTCCCACAGTCCAAAAAGATGACTGTTAGATAAATTGGTTTCTCACAAAGTTCACACTGCAGCCTGATGTGACCCAAATCTGATTTTTGGCCCATATGCGACCTGGATCTGATCTTTTCACGGCTGTCTGAACAATACAAATCCGATCTTTTCCAATGCGACGCAGGTCACTTGGCTATTTAGTCCTGAATATATATATTTTTTCCTTTAACACAAATACAAATTAATGAATACAACTGCATGAATCTGCTGCTGTGATTCAAAAAATTCAACTTTACAAGTTATGCCTTCATTTTCACTTTTGACACAAATGTCACACTGCTAAAAATGAGCCGTGACTTGTGGGTAGTACCCATGATCGGACAGCAGAGGGCGCAGCCTGTTTGGTCAGTATGTACAGCTGTCACCCAGCTCATCATAAGCAGAAGCGGTCGATGCCAGTGCTTTACCGTATTAACAGGAGAAGCGGCGCAAGTGAAATTAGACACTGCTGTCGGTAATTTATAAATGTTTTAAATCAGGTTGGATCCGGATTAGCCAGCAGGTGGGTCCAGATCCAGACCTTGGTCCGCTAAGCCGTGACCTCTGGTATGTCTATGTAAACAACGGTCAACGTAAGCTTTTTTCCCCGCCAATAAGCTCCGGAAGAGAATGAGAAAAACGCATGAATCCCTGCTCTCCCATTTCATCTGGGTTAACCCAGTTCACTTGGACGGGATGTGTGCAGATGTGCAGGTGCAACGCAGGTCAGATGATGCTATTAAGTCTGTTTCAGCTGGAATACCTTCCTTTTCTTTATAAATAAACAGCAAAAGAAGTGATTTGTGCCTTTGTGGATGGGAGAGATGCTGCATGTTCATCCTGACTGGATTTGACAAGAGTTTACTTTATCAGTTACCAGCTGTGAAACTAATAAAGAACTGGAATGAATGGATGAAGCACAGCCGGTCCAGATGGATACCGACTAGAAGTTTCTTCTTTATGACCAGTTGGCCAACATAGGATATTTAAATACCAGAGGAATCAAAGGGTTATTTTGTCCCTCACCTCTTCCCGTTGGACGACAGCCTGACGTAGAGCTTGTCTGTATCTGGAACCACCCTCTGGATGAACACCTGCTGGTCGTCTCGCTCCCCATACGGACCTGGAACCACACAAACCCAGCTGAAGCCGCCGAGGAACAGAACTGAGAAATAAATCTGGACCTGAAACGGCGTCGTTGGCGGCGGTACCGATCTCAGTCCCGGCGCTGCAGCCGCCGTGTCCGTCGATGTCGTCCAGGCTCAGGATCTTAAAGGAGGTGAGCGGAGTGGACCCAGGCTGGGTGGAGATCATCCCTCTGAAGCGGGTCACCGTCCATGTTCGCACATGGTTGTTATCGGCACAGACTGAAAAACCAGAGCAGAACCATCAGAACCGGACAACCCCCCAGTTCAAAGCTGGACCCGGTCGGTCAGAGGAGCGTACCTGAGATCAGGTGCTTCTCAGATAGCATGATCTTGGTGACGGGGCTACGGTGGACAGAGAAGGTCTGGAACAGCTGCGGCCCGGAGCCCACCGTCTCCGGGTGCTGGACGATAACCCGGACCGTGCCAGAACTGGTCCCGTATGCGATCTCGATCCAGTTCCCGCTGTCACCTGAAAACATAAAGGTGGAGGTCATTACTTAGCTTCTGAAGTCCGGTCAGATCCGGGAATTATCCCAACAATGTTTAGATCAGATACTAGACTTAATCACATTGGACCTTTAGTTTTGGTGTTGTTAGGATTCAGTTTAGAGTCAGAGCTCAAGTTTAAGGCTTCAATTGGTTAGAAATATATATAGACATATTATATATATATATATATATATATATATATATATAAGAACATCTGGACGGTACGACTGCATATTAAGGCCAGGCTAGAGAGTTTTTTTATTTTTTATTTTGAGAATAAAGTTGTAATATTCGGAGAATGAAGCCATCATACAACAACCCGTTTCAGAAAGAAAGCTTCGACCTGCATATGATGGCTGACCAGCTCCACCAAACAGCAACCTGAGTCCACTTTGACCTGCTGCCCAATTTGTTGCAGGTGCTAAAAGATATCTTTATATGTCAAACCAGAACCAAAGTATAACTTCACATGATGCTCAACATTCCTCATTTTAGGGAAGACGATGCTTCTTGTAAGAGTTGTCATAAAATATGTTTTTCATAATTTTAAAACTTTATTCTCGGAATTTTGCGACTTTATTCTCGGAATTTTGTGACTTTATTTTCGGGAATTTTGCGACTTTATTTTCGTAATTTTGCGACTTTATTTTCGTAATTTTGTGACTTTATTTTCGTAATTTTATGACTAATATCATTGCGACTTTATTCTTCTAATTTTGCGACTTTATTCTCGTAATTTTATGACTTATCATTGCGACTTTATTCTCGTAGTTTTATGACTTATCATTGCGACTTTATTCTAGTAGTTTTATGACTTATCATTGAGACTTTATTCTAGGAATTTTGCAACTTTATTCTCGTAATTTTGCGACGTTATTCTCGTAATTTTGCGACGTTAATCTCGTAATTTTGCGACGTTAATCTCGTAATTTTGCGACGTTATTCTCGTAATTTTGCGACGTTATTCTTGTAATTTTGCGATTTTATTCTCGTAATTTTGTGAATTTATTCTTGTAATTTTGAGACTTTATTCTCAATGTCGTAATGTTATAAATTTATTCTCAAAATAGAAGACAAAAAATCCCAAGCTTGGCCCTAATACTCCGTCGTAGGATGGAGAGCCGCCTTACTAAAAATATATATACATACATTTATTTTTCAAGATATTCATTTCTATTTCCAGCTCTGTCACAGAACCAGTAAGGTGAATGAAGTGGGTCGCAGTGGACCTGATCCTTACTGGTTTTGGGGGTCAGGTAGACGCTGAGTGCAGTGATGGCGTCTTCGGTTGGATCTCTGTAGAGCTCCGTCACTAGCAGGTCGTTGTCCTTCATCCTCAGAGGAAACTTCTGAACGTCTGATCAACAGCAGAGAGGAAGGTGAGGAACCAACTTAAATGATTCGGATCAGTCAGAATATTTCACTGCCTGGTCGATGTGGAGGTGTATCCTGGTGTCTGTAGCCATGGCGACAGCCTCGGTTTCTACCTCTAACGCTGTAGCAGCAGAGATTCTTACCGATGTAGTAGATGGAGCCGTTGTTGCAGCCCAGGATGAGGAAGGAGCCGGCCGTGTCGTAGCTGCTGATCGGAACCACATCCTGGTTCTGGAGGGAGAGAGAATAAAAAAAAAAAAAAAAAAAGATTCTGAAGTCACTACCACACGCATGTCACAGGAAACGGTCCAGAACCCGAGGCTCCGCCCACCTGCCAGTGCTTGGTGACGGCGTTCCAGACGCCGACCTTTCCGGTGTGGCTGGTGGCGATCAGCTGGTTACCAACGAAGAAGAGAGCCTCTGCCGGCACATTGAGGCTGAAGACGCCTGCAGGAGGAAACAGATCCGTTTACAGTCTGAGGTTTGGGTCCAGATGGGCTTGGTTCTGAACCAGGGGAGACCGGGGCTAGTTATCACACGGGCTAGTTGTCACATTGCAATTCTCTTCTCCACCAGAGGGTGCGACTAAAAACTGGAATACTACTTTTCTTCATTTGCATGGTCAGGTGAGAAGAAGACAACACATTTTTAGTTTAGATGAACACCAACTGAACATTTTCCACTACCCTAAGTAAAAAATATTGACTCTATATTTTTAAATAAGTTCAATTCAGATAAAAATCCTAGGAGTTACACATGTGGACTTGTTAAAATAGATATTAAGACATCCTCTCATATCAGTGACATCAGTCATCGTTCTGATTTAAGTTAACGTTAAGCTAAAGCTAGAATGAGCAAACATGAACATTCAGGGCAACTTGTCACAGTCATTTTGGGGCAAGTTGTCACATATAACGACAACCCTAAAATGATTATTTTCAAATAATGATTTAAATGATCACACCCTAAGAAAGATTTTACTTAATTTTTATAGATAAAATAGTGGTTTAAAAGAAAGAAGAAGGTTCAAAGATGGTCAGGAGTTATAAAAGAACAATGCCGGGAAAGCACTCAGAATTTAAGACATTTCAGCCTTAGAAAAGGGAAGAGTTCTTGGAGACAGAATTTGCTCAGATCACCTTTACCAGGACCTAACTCTACCAAGCCCACGCACCAACTGGACCATCACTGGATGATTAGAGCCTGGTCCTTATAGAACCATTTGGAAACAGCCGTCCAGGAGAACCATGGTTGCAGTGAATGTAAAGGATGGCCGCATTAAGAATGCATCCCTGGCAATTCGCTCTATGTATGCAAAAACTGCAACCGAGATGGAGACTCTGACTAGTGAGATCTCCTTTGGTTCCTGGACCAGTTTGTTTGTAATGCTTGTTGCTTAATATTTCATTATATTTATATCCCAAGTGTATTAATAGTGAATCATTGTAATTTATTCACTTTCCATTAAGGAAATAAGAACAATTCTTTTTTCCTTATTGTATTGGTTGCAAAATCCAGTGGCTTCTTACCCCACATAGTGTGACAACTTACCCTTTGGTGGGGCAATTTGTCACATGTTGACAATGTCGAATGATTGCTTAGAACTCTGTACTGACACAAGATATGAAAATGACATGAATACAAAATATATACCTGAAAATCAGCTACATATTTTTTTAATATATGATGTTTTGATTCCAAGATATAAATATGAGTGTAAAAAGTGACAACCAGCCCCGGTCTCCCCTATGCATCATCATCATCATCATCATCATCATCATCAATGCGCCACTAAAACCGCCCTGAGTTAAACAGTGTAAAGGTCATCCAAAGGTTCACGCAACACCTGATTCTTATCGTCCCATCAGAGCAGAGACGTAAAGCTGAGGCAGGAAGGAGGAAGAGAAAAGCTGACCCGATGTAAACCAGTACGGTAAATCTAATGATTATTATGAAACAGATTGAAATATTGTTTGCAGGGATTAAAGTAAAAAAATTCCTGAGCCTGAACTTTTTCGACACAGGCAAGAAACTCACATATTATATTATTCATTTGAGTCA